TCTAACATGTGGTCGTCGGGGCCCCCCAAAATGGGAGGGGCCGCAAGAGCATGAAAAATCAACGAATCGACACAGGATTTGTATGAACTTGACACGTTCTGATAGGGGGCCTCCTGGGGCCTCCCGGGAGCCTCCTGGGAATCTCCTGCGGACCCCTGGGGCCTGTCCTGGGCGTCCTGCGGCCTCCTGGAGCTCTCTGGGGCCTCCTGGGGCTCCCAGGGAGGATATGTAACACGTGGTCTTCTGGGCCCCCAGGCTGGACCAGGGAGCTCAGAGTTGCGAGAATGTCTTGTGCGAAACAAGCCAGACCACCTTGCGCACGGCATCTCAGAGCTCAGAGTTGCGAGGATGCCTCAGGCGAGACGGGCCGGACCACCTCGCGCAGGGCATCTCAGAGCTCAGAAGTTCGAGGATGTCTCAGGCTGGCTCCCAGGGTCCCAGGGAGGATATGTAACATATGGTCTTCTGGGCCCCCAGGCTGGACCACCTCTTGCGCGGCATCTGGGAGCTCAGAGTTGCGAGAATGTCTTGTGCGAAACAGGCCGGACCACCTTGCGCACGGCATCTCAGAGCTCAGAGTTGCGAGGATGTCTCAGGCGAGACGGGCCGGACCACCTCGCGCAGTGCATCTCAGAGCTCAGAGCTCAGAGCTCGAAGAAGTTCGAGGATCTCTCAGGCGAAACGGTCGGACCACCTCTCGCGCGGCATCTCCGAGGTCAGAGTTTCGAGGATGTCTCAGGCGAAACGGGCCGGACCACCTCGCGCAGGGCATCTCAGAGCTCAGAGTTTCGAGGATGTCTCAGGCGAAACGGCCCGGACCACCTCTCGCACGGCACCTCGGGGCTCAGAGTTTCGAGGATGTCTCAAGCGAAACGGCCCGGACCTCCTCTCGCGCGGCTTCCCGGAGCGCAACTTTTCGAGGATGTCTCAGGCGAAACGGCCAATCCCGGCCAACTCAGAAACGAGAGTTGTGAGGATGTCTGAAGTGAAACGGCCCGGACCGTCAAATTTTTGTGAGGATGTCTCTGCTCCGACTTCCCTCGGCCGGAGTGAGCTTCTATCACAACAGCACCCCGTTCAGCAAGCTGTTTGGGGAACAATGAAATGAGCGGGCAAAGGAGGAGGAGGAGGAGGAGGAGGAGGAGGAGAAAGGCGGAGGGGGGCAAGAGGAAGGAGGGAGGATTGAGGGCGAAGGAGATTCAGCAGAACGGGACGGAGAGGAGCCATGACTTCGGCAAGCAGACCCCGACGGGCGGGCCGGCCCCAAGGAGCGGGTCGGGCGGGCAGACCCTGACGGGCGTGTCGGGCGGGCGAGACTTCAAAGCGGGCGGGCTTCCACGTGCGCGAGCGGCCAGACCCGGTCGCAAAGGCGGACCCGAACGGGCGGGTTGGGCTGGACATCGAAGCGGGCGGACTCCCAAGCAAGTGAACGGGCGGGCCCTGGCTGGCGGGTCAAGAGGGGCATCGAAGCGTACGTGCTTCCAAGCAGGTCAACGGGCGGACCCTGGCTGGCGGGTCGGGCGGGTGAACCCAAACAGGCGGGTCGGGCGGGCGGGCCAAAATGGGCGGGTCGGGCGGGCGGGGTTGAAACGAATTTCGCAAGTTGCAAGGAAGCCCCAAGCGAGAGCATGGGTTCTGAACACATTGTGAGGAGCTCTCGTGCGAGAGCGCGATTCCTTGACGTCGTCGAGAGTGCAGCGCCCTGGTAAATTACAAGGAAGTCGTGAATGAGAGCGCGATTTTCAATACTCAATACATTGCGAAGAAATGTCAGGCGGGAAGTGCGGGCCCGGGGGGGCACTTCAATTGAAATTACCCTGGCGACGTACCCAACCCCTGCGCAAACGCGGGGCGCAAATAGTTTAGGACACTTTGTAAAGGGGGCGATGACGGAACGAGGGTTACATATGTCTGCAGACGGAATTCGGGACACTCGCAGGACACTGGCTACAGGACAAGGACTAGATAAAGCTGATTAGTTACAATCCCTGAGCAACCCTAGCCACTTCGAAGGCGGGGATCTCAGATCGCAGCCCCCCAGGGATGGCGAGGTCTAATTTGGGTCCGCGCGTGGCGACACTGTGCTGAGTCCCCCAGCAGGCCTCGAAAGTGGCGACAGCTTCACAGATCGCAGCCCCCTAGGGATGGCGAGGTCTAACTTGAATCTGCGTGTGGCGTCACTGTGCTGGGCCCCCCAGCAGGCCTCGAAAGTGGCGACAGTTTCACAGATCGCAGCCCCCCAGGGATGGCGAGGTCTAATTTGAATCTGCGGTGGGTACCCACTGTGCTGGGCCCCCCAGCAGGCCTCGAAAGTGGCGACAGTTTCACAGATCGCAGCCCCCCAGGGATGGCGAGGTCTGCTTAGAGTCCGCGGTGGGTACCCACTGTGCTGGGCCCCCCAGCAGGCCTCGAAAGTGGCGACAGGTTCACAGATCGCAGCCTCCCAGGGATGGCGAGGTATAATTTGAATCTGCGGTGGGTACCCACTGTGCTGGGCCCCCCAGCAGGCCTCGAAAGTGGCGACAGTTTCACAGATCGCAGCCCCCCAGGGATGGCGAGGTCAAATTTGAGTCCGCGGTGGGTACCCACTGTGCTGGGCCCCCCAGCAGGCCTCGAAAGTGGCGACAGTTTCACAGATCGCAGCCCCCCAGGGATGGCGAGGTCTGATTTGAGTCCGCGGTGAGTACCCACTGTGCTGGGCCCCCCCGCAGGCCTCGAAAGTGGCGACAGTTTCACAGATCGCAGCCCCCCAGGGATGGCGAGGTCTAATTTGAGTCCGCGGTGGGTACCCACTGTGCTGGGCCCCCCAGCAGGCCTCGAAAGTGGCGACAGCTTCACAGATCGCAGCCCCCCAGGGATGGCGAGGTCTAATTGAGTCCGCGGTGAGTACCCACTGTGCTGGGCCCCCCAGCAGGCCTCGAAAGTGGCGACAGTTTCACAGATCGCAGCCCCCCAGGGATGGCGAGGTAAAAGGCAGGGGGGAAGAGAGGGACGGGAGGGGGTGGGAAGGAAGGAGACGCGCGAGCAGTGCTCTATTCATAACGAGAACCCAACGCAGGAGGGTTGGGAATAACACAATGGGCACCGGAGAGGGGATCAGCAATAATTATTCGTCATACTTTCAAGTTCAACCCAAAACAAATAACCAACAACAACAGACAACAAACAACAATCATCCTCACCGCGGAAACCCACTTCAATCACGCACTCAGGGATGGTGTAATACCGTTCGGCCCCCTCAGGCATTTTCACGCGCCGGTGACCACAATGAACTCAACCTGCAACTCTTTTCACAACCACTCCAGCCGTACCAAAATCTTGAATCTGGCCGCCAGCTGACTCTCAGTGCGCGCACTCGCGCGCGGGATGTTCGCCTGCAGAGCCTAATACTCAATACACCCCACAACATATACAGACCACCAAACACATGTCAACACCACCACTCTCGCCCCCAAACCGCTACCACCCACTTCTCCACCTTGACCACCCACCTTCTCTCTTCGACTGGTAGCTCCTTTCATCTATCGTTCGCATACCTCCTCCCTCTGCTGTTACCCCTCGCTCCCTCCATCACCCTACTTCTCCCCTACCTCCGAGATGTCGCTATGGCAGGCATGGGTGTGAGACGGCACTACCTGTGCACTGGCGCGGCAAGGCGTCGTCGCTGTGGCCTCATCAGCCCCTCAGCGTCGGAGTGATCGTTCTCGTGAGCTCGTTGTCGGCAATGGTGTATCTCTCGAACGTCTTGTCCTGAGGAGAACATCTCGCGACAAGATCTAAGGGAGGACAGCTACAGCGCAGCGTCCGAGGAACGGAGGAGAGGGAGGCAGAGGAGCAAGGGCTCCCAACTTCGCGCTTCGCGCTGCGTGAAGTGCGGATACCTTCGCGCTCTCGCGCCGCCTCCCTAAGGAGAAGAGGAGGATGAGGAATCGGAGCCGAACCGCGAAGCGCGAGTAACTTCGCGCCCTCGAAGGCGCCCTTGAGGATCAGGAAGCGGATCAACATGAAACACAATTGGTGCGCGCACGTACTAGGAGGCACATGCAATACGGCTGGTGCGCGCGTGGTGACCGTGGCGGGTGGATGGGTGCGTGTGGCACCAGGAATGTGGGAGGACGAGGAGGATGAGGAGCAGCAGCCGGAAGAGGAGGGCAGAATGGGGAGGAAATGGAGCAGAACGAGGATGGGGAAAAAGGTGGACGGGCAGGATGTGGAGGAGGGACGGACTTCAGGAGGCCACGGCTGACGGTCAGCCTCGAGCGGCGACGCAAGAGGCGCTCCTTCGTGGACCGTGCCCGCCGCAAGGGCACCCAGCGGAGGGGCACGCGGAGGAAGTTCGATGGGGCCCAAGGGCACACAAATAAGTGCACGCAGATCTCTGGAGTCACCATCATTGTCCATATTTGTGGATTTTCGTCTTCCCCCCCCACCTCCCATATTTTCCTATATTTTCCTGGGAGTCGACGATTCATTGTGTCTGTGTGTGTTTTCTCTACTGAGAAGTGGAGTGGGGCAGAGAGGACGAAGATGGTGGCACCATCCTCGTCTCACCATCATGGCGAGATTGGCTGTGCCCTTGATGGAGGAAAAACGACGATTGTGATGGGACTGGCAACCATCTCAAACAATGCACACACACACGCGCGCGCATTCATGCTGACCTTCGGACGGGCGCAAGGGCGTGCGCGTACACACATATTCAGTGAAGGCCATTCCACAAGGAACCCAACCCTACGACCCCAAGGCGTCATTCGAGGTTTGGTGTGGGAACGTCTCGCTCTCCATCGCGAAACCATAAACGCAGGGCGCTCTGGAGGCAAGCAGGGTGGTTCTTGGCATGGGTCCCCACTGTATCACAAGTGCTCGCACGCACGTGCGTAAGAGCAAACTCGCAGACGCATGTGTGTGTCTGTGTGTGTGTGTGGCTGTGAATGTGTCTCGAGAGCACGCGCATGCAACACTGCATGCGTCTAGCGCGATCGAGCATTCGTGCTTGTTTGCTCCTATTGCTTCGCGCCCCCCCTGGTCACATTTGCACGCGCATTTTCTATCGCCGCGAGTGCCTGCCGAGAGAAAACTGTACTTGGCAGCAATGGTCTCTTAGGTCTCTTAGAGCTACCTTTTCCTTAGAGCAGCAGGCTCTGTGAGGGGGAGGCCAGCGTTGGGCGAAAACCAGCAAAGGTGAGACACGAAACATCGCGGCCATTTTCAGAACGTGATGAACAGCTTCTTGTCGTATCCAAGCGCCTGGCATCGTCTGCTGTACTCTGAGTGAAGTGCCTTCTCCTTTATCCTCTTCCTCCTTGCTGCCCCCGTCTTTGAAAACAACGTAATTCCAGGAAGGCTGGGCACGTGCACTGCGAATCAAGCCTGACACTGAAATTATTCAGACGTGGAAAGCGCCAACAACCAAACACTGTGCATGCGCATTCCGCTGCGTGCGCGAGAATGCGCGAGAAGGTAGATGGGGATTGCGGGGGCAAAACAACTCATGGCGAGATACCACAATATTTGCAGACATGTATATGCATATGTACGTATGTATATGTTTACCTATACATGTTATCACGGGGGGATAAACCTTCTGACTGAGTCTGTCCAATGTCGCCCCCCTCCATCCTCCTCCCCCTCCTCCTATTCCTGAAACCCCCGCTCCACCCATTCTGAGAGCACGTGCCCCACCCCTCCAGCGGATCCAAGGGGAGGGGGGCGATTCTTGCCCCGTCCGTAATATACATGTACACACACGCACACACGCACACACACATACATATATATATATATATATATATATGTGTATAGATGTGTATATCTATATATACATATACAAAAACATATATATATATATATGTACATACATATATATACGTAAGTATAACCACGGGCGTTGGCAGAACTGGGTTTAGCAGAACCTAGCTGAATGATTTGTACTGGGGGCGCCCCCCCGCCCCATTTCCACTAACCGGAACTGCCGTCATCCGAAAAACACCAGCTACGGCAAACCTGGTTTAGTGAATCTGGCCAATTGAGGGCCCCCAAGGCCCTACCACTAACCGGGTCCCCTTACCCGGGGTCCTGGCTATACCCGGCACACGAACATATATATATATATATATATATATATATAGATGTATATATACACATAAGTGTATACACATATTATGACTATAACCACGCGCGCTTCGCGCGCGTTCTGGTTCCAGCGAACTCCAGTTGTAGCCCAAAATGTTCGGCGTCGGAAGATATAGACTGCCGCGAGGATCGTGCACCTCAGGGAGTTCCACCCGAGCCCCTCGGACAGTCGGGCGTTGGTAGAACTAGGTTTAGTGGAACCTGGTTTAATAATGTGTACTGGGGGCGCCCCCCCCGTTTCATTTCCACTAACCGGAACTGCCACCACCCGAAATAAACACCAGTTACGGCAAACCTGGTTTAGTGATTCTGGCCAATTCGAGAGCTCCAGGGCCCTACCACTAACTGGGTCCTCTTACCTGGCCATACCCGAGACAGGCTTGGCTGAGGATCCCCCCGCCAATGCCGGCACACCCCTCGCAGGCATCGCGTCCCACAGGGAAACCCACTTGATTACATCACCAGAAACGAGGCTCGCACCGTGGCAAACCCCTCACGCGGAACGTGCCCCGCAAATAAATGCATTTGCGGCACCGGAGAGGAGCTTAATAACATCGCCCAGCTCATTTCGGTACACTTCTCAAACGTATCGGGGCCCGCGAGGACATCTACGGACGCCCCCAAAGACAAGGTTCGCATCCCGCCATCCCGCCTACTTTGGCACACCTCGCACACGGATCGTGATCATGGTCCACAAGGATCTCCACCCACGTCCCCAGAGGCAGGGTTCGCACTGCGCCCCCCCCCCGGCCATTGCGGCACACCCCATCACGTGGATCGTGCCCACAAGGAGCACCACCTAAAGGCCCGGAAGGTTCGTACAACGCGCCCCCCCCGCCCATGTTGGCACACCTGTCACGCGAATCATGCCCCAGAATGGGCATCTTTGCATGGCGTCCCCGCGCCCATTTCGGAACATGCCTGGCACGGGACGTGCCCAGAGGAGGTCCACCTGCGGCCTCAGTGGGCGTGTTCGCGCGGCCCTTCACGCGGATCGTGCCCCACGAAAAATTTAGCACACCTGTGCGCGCGTGCCCAACGAGAGCAATTGTTCCGCATTGCCCTGGCCTGTTTGGCTGCCTTAGAGCGTTTATTGACGACCTCTTTGGCACTGGTGCCCTGCATGCTAGCGCGCCTCGGCTCGCCTCGCCCAGGAGACGGCAGCAAACATGCAAATCTGCAGTGATCCAAAGGCCTTTTACCAGCCGCTGCCAGATCGGTTGAAAACTGGTGCGCTAAATCCTGAATCTGGCATACACCAGCGCAATCGGGATATTCCACTTGAAAGATTTCGCCGCTACTGTAAAAACCACTGTCGTCGTCGGCGACACGCCGGCCACGGGGGGAGCGAGAGATCAAGAGGCCCCCAGGAAAAGGCCTCAGACGGCCCCAGGAAAGGCCTCAGACGCCCCAGGAAAGGCGCACGACGACGATCAGCGACGAGCGACGAGCCACGAGGACGACGAGGACGACGACTGCGGACCAAACTCCTATGCGGATTCCTGCGCGGATCCCAATGCGCACGCCGGCATTGCCCGGAATGCAGGAGGGCGGGGAGCGTTACGCCATAGGGGGGGGGGGACGGGGGCCATGACGCCCGTCATGCCCCAAGCAGTAAAGAAACGGGCTCCAGGGCCCCAAAACGGCCGCAGAGGCGCCCAAAAACTGCGCATGACAGCCCGAAAACGACCCTGAGAAGGGCCCAGGAGCGGGAGCCAGGACCGACAATTCGAGTTCACCGCCGCAAGATGCACCCACGAGACACCCAAACGCCCTTACAAGCCCCCAGCAGGCCCCCAAGAGGCCCCAAGTAAGCGCCACAAGGGCCAAGAACACCCCCGACGGGGCTTCACAACTGCTTTCACGAGGCCCCCGACACGAAACTGTTTTCGGAAATTGGTGGGGCAGAGAGCCCCATGAAGCGGTCCTCGGGAAAAGGTCGGGGAGAGAGCCGCGAAAACTCTCCTGAAGGCCCATACCCGCAACCCAAACATGGTGGCGGGGCAACCCGGATGTCATCCGATATTTCACGGCATGGGAGGCTGCAGCGTACCTTGTCCTCCTCCTCCTCCTCCTGTTCCTCGTGCCCGCGCTATCGTTCTGTCCCTCTTTCGTTTTTTCTCTCTCTCTCTCTCTCACTCTTTTATCATTTTCTCTCTATCTCTTTCTCTCTCCACAGATGTCGTTATCTCCCTCTCTATCTTTCACGGTGCACACACACATATATATGAATATGTACATACACATACATACATGTGTGTACATATGTATGTATGTATGTATGTATGTATGTATGTATGTATGTATGTATGTATGCAGGTATGTATGTATGTATGTATGTATGTATGTATGCATGTATGTATGTATGTATGTATGTATGGAGGTATGCATGCATGTCTGTATGTATAAATGTGTACATATATATGTGTATACATATATATATATACATGTATGAGGGAGCGTGATCCACCGCCGCTTTACTGTGGAATATTGCCGCCCCTTTCCTCTGGAGCCAGGGGTTCCCATCCCCCCCCGTCCGAAAATCCCCCCCCCCTGCTGGACCTCCCCCCTCCCCTCCCCTGGCAAAACCCCCCCCCTCCCTAACACCTCCCCACCCCCCTCCCCCTCGAAAGCCGGGGGGGTCACTACCGGTTCGAACCCCCCTCCGTTCCCCCCCCCCTCGAAAACTGGAGGGGGGGTCAGTACCGGTTCGAACCCCTCCCCACCCCCCCCACGCACCGCCAGCAAACGACTCCCGGTCCCTACCACCGTCCGCATCACATCCCCCACTGTTGTTCCCAGCACCACTGTCCTCACCACCACTGTCCCCACTGGTTCCACCACCGTCCCTACTGCCCCCACCAGTGCCCCCACCACTGTCGCACTGTCTCCACTGTCCCCGCCACTGTTCCCACCACGGTTCCACTCTCCCCACTTTCTCCACGGCCCCAACCACTGCCCGACTATCCCCACTGTCCCCCCTGTCCCACTGACTCCTCCGCTGTCCCACTGAGCTGTCCCACTGTTCCCACCACTGTCGCCACTGTCCCCGCCATTGTCCCCACTGTATTTCTGTCCCATTGTCCCACCGCCGTCCTCGCCTCCGCCTTCACCACTGTCCCCACCACCACTGTACCCTCCAGTGTCCCACTGTTTCCACCTCATTCCCACTGTCCCCACACCACTGTCCCCACCACCGCCGTCCCCACCACTGTCCACTGTCCGCACTGTTCCCACCATTGTCCTCACCACTGTCCCCACCACAACCGTCCCCACCACTATCCCACTGTCCCCACCACTGTCCCGCTGTCCCCTCACCACTGTCCCCACCATCGCCGTCCCCACCACTGTCCGCACCCCCACTCGGTTTTCGAGGGGAGGGGTTCGAACCGGGGGGGGGGGTTCGAACCGGTAGTGACCCCCCCCCGTTTTCAAAGGGGGAAGGGGGGGGGGGTTCGAACCCGTAGTGACCCCCCCCCCTTTCATGATGACCGGGGGGGGGGGAGGGGCTCGAACCGGTAGTGACCCCTTCCGGTTTTCCGGAGAGGGGGGGGGGAGGGTTTCGAACCGGTAGTGACCCCCCCGTCGGTTTTCCGCCAGCAGCGGTAGATCACGCTCTTTCACACACATATATATATATATATATACACATACATAATACATACATACATCATACATACATAATACACATACATATATACATATATATATATATATATATATATATATATATATATATATATGTGTGTCAACATGTGCATGAGTATCACAATTCTTCTCGCCATCTTTCGAAATTCCCCTTCCGCGGACTTCGTTCCTTGCAGCGCCGCTGCAGAGCCCATCTCCGCCATGGTCACCCGAAGGGGCATCATCTGCACGACTTGCACTTCAGGGTGCCGATTGTTTTCGGCGCGCGCGACATGTTCGCCCCGCCGACTTCGGCAGTCTCTGTTGGCACGTGTCGGTGCACTGATAGGACCGCCCCGCCGTGAAACCACGCCTCGTGCAACCCGCGCACACTACGCGCGTGTGCTTTGTCCGTCAATGTTTGCTCACCTGTTTTTCTTTAAGTGGTTCGCACCCGAGAGAACTGCCCCGCACGCCGCGCAGGTCAG